AAAGGAAAAGGTTTTTGTTGGTTTAGAACTAATTTGGTTGTCGTTCCCATGAAATGGCAAAACAAGATATAATTTAGTGATGACAAAATATTGCTGGATTGTCTTTGGTTATTAAATTGTTCTTAAATTTAGCTTTTACTGTGCGGCGAAAGACGAGTGAAGTCGTGCTGGAATGTTTCAGTGCTTGTGTACAGGAGGATATTTTTGAAAAGCACTTTTTTTAAAAGGCTAGCACATTTCCTTGTCAGAGCAAATGTGTGCTGCCTTAGAGTAGCTTTGCAGAATATTGCTTGTTTTGGTGATTCAGTGCACTTGTTTATATTTCCAAAAAATACCCATGTCTTGTGGTTTGCGTTAGTTCATACATTTTGGCGCCCATTCACTAGCTTAATATACTTTATTTTATTTTATTATCAAATAAATATTAGATTTTATTTTGCTATAAAATATTTTATATGTTCTATTTAATTTATTTTATATACTTTCAATCTTGTATAGGATAGAGCAGAATCAGGCTTTTTTTGCCCCATTATAGCTAGCTGTGATACCTTATTTCCAAAGCTTGTCAATTTTTCTTATTCTGTGCTTTAACGTAGTTAACGAATAGCTAATGAAATTAAAAAGAAGAAAAATCAATTACCTGTTTGAGTAGTAAAGCAGAATGGGCAACAGGAGCAAATACTGGCTGAGCTTGCAGCTTTCTTCTTGGCTTCATAGAAGGTATCAGCTTTTCTTTCTTTTATAACTAGCAGAAAATAAAAATATAAATGATGCGTCATGCTTATTATTAAACGTGATTGATTTGAGCGTGGTAAATGCCATAGAAACAAATTATTAGGGAGTTTTAGAGTAAAATGCAAAAGGGGGAAAAAGTCTCCTACTAGGAGAGGAAAATGACTGTTTCACTTATAAATTGTGGGCAAATGCATGAACTTATTTTAAAAGCAAACTTTATAAGGGTCTGCTGTGTATAATTTCTGGACTAGTTGATTTTAGAAGCCAACAGAAATGTATTTGTTTTAACAGTTCTAGTCAGTGCTCCTTGAACAGGGCTTGCTCTTATGCTGCCCATATTCAGCTTTCCTCTGTTCTGGCCCAAGTTTTAGTAGATGATGATGTTCTCAGTCTCTTGCTCAAATACACTGTGCGAAATTCTAGAAACGAAGAGTATAATTACACTCTATTTAACAAATGATCTCCAGTTAGGGAGGGCACTTGGGAATTGATTGCCGCTTTGTTTTGGTGATGAAATACAAGATTTTTCCTTTTAGCTAGATGCTAAACCTGTTTTTCTGCTCTTGCTTCTGGCTTTTTTAGTTTATTTCCTTTTATTTTATTTTTTTCACCCAGCAGCTGCTATTTCTGTTTCCATCTAGTATGTGCAATGCGTATTTGGTATGGAGGAGAAAATAAAGTTCAGATCAGAAGATAGATGGTGATTGTGAATAAATGCTTTTCAGTCAGTACTGCAATGGAAGTGTTTTTCTTTTTTTTCTTTTGACTTTTTCCTGCAGTTTGCAGATGTAGAGTTCAGAGTAATTGAGGAATTCTGTTCTCTCCTAAATTCAGAGTTTAGCTATGCCTCAGGAATCCACCATAGATCAGTAAAGTGCACCATATATATCTCTTTTTATTTGTTTTTTAGAAAGTGTTTCTGTTAGTATTTTAGGTGAAATTGAGAATGAAACAAATTTCTATTTAATATATTTGTATTTTGCATTTAATTTGTATTTAATACTAGCAAAGTTGTTTAATCTTAGAACAGGTCGTAGATTCAAAATTGCACTACAACCTGTCAGCCTCCAGGATTGTGTCCAGGAGCATTGTAAAAGAATGATTCATGACTATGAATGTTGTCTGGCTTTGAGCTATTTGTTATATAGGGTAAAATACAGAATATAAAAATGTCGGACTGCAAACTATGCTTCCAATGTGGATTAAAATTATAATTATAATAGTCATAAAAGCGGTTCATGCCATCAGAGACCAGCAACTTGCTTGGCTGTCAAGAACCTGGAGGCTGAGAACATCTGGAATAGGTACAAAATACACGTTATTAAGGAACCAAAGTCTGAATAATTACATAACAGATCCCAGCATGAGAATTCATCTTTGTGGATATAAAACTAATGGTAACTAATGGTAATTAATTACCATTAGTTTTATATCCACAAAGATGAATTCAATTCCTAACCCATAACCCCCACGTTTGTATTTTGAGTTCAACTGTAAAAATCCCAAAGGCAACATATCTGTATATACATCTCCTGTGATGTAATTTGGTCAGAGCCAAAAACCTGCTTAGTACAATAGTATGTGATGCACCAATCTGTAAATATATCTTTGGGGTCAACAGTGCCATGGTGCTTGGAGTAGTGTAGATAAAATCGACCACATTTGCTAAAATTAGGCAGGCATTGCATTGCTTTTGAAATGAGAGGGCTTTTTACTCTCTTCCATAGGGATTTGCTTGGGAACTCGTATTTTTGCTCCACTGGAGTGTCAAGAAAGTGGCTGCAGAGAAGGTCCCCAGCCCTGAGCAATCCAGGCAGTTCAAACACGCTGCCTTTCCTGCCTTTGGCAAACCTTGGGTCTATAGGAGAAAGCGTCTGGGTCCATCTACCAAAGGAGCTTTCGTCTTTGACTTTGTTTCATGAAACAAAAGTAATCTTTATTCTGCGCTAAGGTTAACCATGGAAGCCAGGTTAACCTTGTATATATATAATCCTGATCCAGAATAATTATTTTTTTCTTTTAGCTTCTTCCATTTCTTGCAGGTATCTTTCATTAAAAATCTACAGTCCATAAGAAATGCAGAAAATATTGCCAAAGGTAGCTCATGTGTAAGATGCAAACAGACTTTACAAGGGAAAAGTTAAATATCTAGAGAGGAATATTGCAGATAAGTAGACTCCTATCTTGGCTTTTTGCTAGGAACAACGACAAAAAAAGTCTATCTTTATTCCCCACCCCACAGAAAAGAACTGGACTCCACCTTTTCCCTTTTATTTCTTTCCTCTGCACTGTACATTTGCTGAATAACCTCAGCTTCCCTGATTATTTCAAACTATCCAGGAGAAAATGAAGTGTGAATGATGAATTAGACATCAGTTCATGTCCACGCAGGGTCCAGTGCTCGTACTTTCTCAGTCTGGATACACTAAAAATAGTACCAATTGGAATATTTAAACTTAATGCTGGGTTTGGAAAAAAAGACAGACCATGAGTGATATGATAATGAATGTGATTTTAATACAGGTTTAGAAACTGGCAGTAGGGAGCTATTCAAAGGCTTTCTGAATATATCCCTGGAGAAAAGGTTAGAAGCCTTGGAAAGAAATAGCACGTGAAGCTAAAGGAATTCCTCCCTTATATCTGTCTTCCTCTACAAAACAAATGGCCACAGCCTCTAATCCCTGGCTAGGTGATTAGCAAAAAAGGCCTTGAAAAAATTAAACGCTAATAATTTGACAGCAGTGAATCTCTTGGGGATATTGGTTACCATATCAGCAAATCTTCTTGGTTTTCCCCTTGATATTTGATAGCTTTGCTCAGTGGTGGCGTGGTGAGGATGGGCAGCAGCAGATCTCTGCAGATGCCCCAGCCCGGTGAGCTGCAGGGACCTCCAAGAAGGCTCACGCCAGGCTACAAGCCAAGAAAGGAGCAACTCATCTGAGAAGAAGGTAAAATGGCAACCTCATGTTGTGTGCAGTAAGCAGCTCCCTGGAAAGCTGCTAGCGAAGAGCCCCTGATTTGCACCTCCACGTTAAACTACTTCCAACACAGGGAATTAGAAAATTGTAGCAGTCACGTTAAGAAAGGACATTGGGTTTTAGGCTAGCATGTGTTGCTTTAACAAGTTGCGTATGGAAGGCAACTAAAACACCTTATTTGCAGGGGGTAAATCCATTTATTAAAGTCAAATTTCTGTTTTGTTTTGAAGGAATTAGGAAAAAAATACAGGTTTTTATACCCAATATTCTTCCTCCAGGACTCCTTAAAATATTTAAATACAAATAATGAAATATTTAGAATTCTATTGCAATTAACTTGCTGAATTATCCAGGATTTTTCCTATGGGTATGGAAGCTTGTAGCTGTATTGAAGAGCAGAATTACAGTGATGTTGCCCACCTGAATTGGAATCTAAAGCCTGGCTTTCAATATTGATGAATAGAGCCTTCTATTTAAGTGAACCAAAGTTTCCTCCTGTGTATAAATATTCATCCAAGCAGGAGAACATTGATCACTATATAGGTCCTAATCCAGGTTCCACTGAGGTCAATATTAGCTCTTCCATTGACAACATAGTTAAATCACCCTCTTTAATGAGTCTGATGCAGCTCACCTCCCATTTAATTTGTGTTTGCATAATCTTTGAAAGCCTATACATGGCATATGGATACATGTACAAAGAAAATAATCTCCTCGCCCAGAGAATAGTCTTACTTGTCCAAGAGGATCTTCTGTAAGTCTTGAATGTTTGAATTCACGTGCTGCACAGCCATTTCTGCACACACACGTGGACAGACGTGCTAGGTGTTGCTTGTAGCATTCAGGTATTAACCTGAAACATTGGGTTTAGAAATATGATTCTCTAACGTATTTTACCATAATATTATTTTTTACTTCTGAGCTACATAAGACAGGTGGGGCTAGCATTATTTTCCTTTTTTTTTATTGGGAAATAGATTATAAATATTTCATCAAGACTTTACGTCATGTCTTCTTCTCTGAAGTTACTGAAATGAGTGCAAGATTATTTCCATGCTAATGAATAGAGCATATACTTATAAAAGAAGTTGCTGCAAGATTTCAAGTGTTCTTATTTGATACTCCAGAAAAAAAAATAGCTGCATACAAGAGACACCTTGTTTTTTTGGGGTAGGTGTATGTATATATAGTGATATAAAAAGTGAAAGGAGCAATTGTTCTGAAAATACAGTTTTTTCCCGTTTATGTTACTGGAGTGAGCCCGTCACTGGAGGGAGGTAGCCAACCATGATGGGATTATCAGGAAGTCCAAAGCCCAGATTTCATAGCACAAATCGTAAAGAAGGTATGTTAAATCTGTCTTTCACCCTGTAAACGACTAATGCTTGCTCATGTCTAATAATACCATAATTGAGTATAATTAAAATCCCTCATGCATATTCAGTGCAGTAAAACATCTGGGTACAACAAGCAAAATGCATCATTTGGGAAGAGTGGACTTTTCATGAGAAAATCAGTGTATGGTTCAGGTACAAGCCCAGTTGATAAACCCTTTAATCGTTGAGTTCTAGAGGTTTTACTCATTTTCTAGCATTTTTGGCATGCGTGGTGGTTGATAGTGGTGCCTCCTTCACAGCTCCCCAGGAGATGTTCCCATTCACTTTGGCTGTGGGGATTTGCATTTAATCTCTGCTAAAGCTTGGGCTGTTTCATGGACTGCCATTCTGTGGACCATCCAAGTGCCATAGAAGAGGCAGCTCAAACAAGACATTGCTTGTGCGGGCAGCATCTTCCACAAGACTCTTGTTCTGCCTTATTTGAACTCCAGCAACCACAAAAACCTCCGTTCTTCAAGGCGCTCTGAGTTTCCAGGACAGTGACTGAAGGTTTAATGCCCTTGAGCCAAGCCTAGTTAATCAAAAGTTGAGTATCATATCACTAGAGCTCGTTATTTACCTTTTTGCTATGGTTGCTGTTGAGGTCACTTGAGTGACCAAAAAACAACACAGAATGTATGGCAAGTGTGCAGCACGCAAGTCATGCTTGTTAGAAAATATACAAGCACAGGCAATTGCATGAAGTCATGCCTAACTTGGACATGGCTTTGCAAAAACAGGCTAGATGCAGAGTCAAGGAGGCACTGCCACTTCTTTGTGTTCATTGAAAACATGTCCTTGGTTTGGGTGTGCAGCGAATTTCAGTCAGTCGGTGTCTGCCTGTCACTACGGTGGTACCTGTAGTTGGTCTGTAGTTCCTCCTGGCTCTTGTCGCAGGGACATCCCCACCTTGATTATTTTCTTGATTATTACTGATGAATCTCCAAGCGAAATGTATCATAAGCAGGATATATTCAACACTTTTAAAATGCTGATTTTGTTAGCATTAACAGTACGAAGACTGGTTTGTAAAGACAAAAAAATGTTTTAAGTATTGGTTCAGTGGTGCTATTAGCTCTTAACTTCCTATGAATTGCAATTTTTTATTTTGGAAGTTGATTGTCGCTATGTATTTAAGGAAAGCAAAAAGGCATCTTGCAGAGTAAAGAGGCCTTGAAAGAATATGCGTAGCTTGTTAAATCACCTGTTAAGAAGAGAGCCACTAAGTACACAGTGTGATTTTGCAGTTTTATATGTATAGATACTTCTGAATAATTTTCGTGTCTTGAATTTGAAGATCATAAACCTCATGTATGAATTTGCAATACTTTAGCAACTGTTAGGCACAGAGAGAGATTTATTTTTCTGTATCTTTCATTTATTTTGTGATTCAAAGTTCTTCAGGAAGATTCTTCCTTTTTTTCAGGCTTTCTATTAATATTTCAGTTCTCTTACCTGCCAGATATTTTCCACTGTTTCTTATACTTTGTATTTATTAGCTCTCCTGTCATGCACGGTCTCTGCCAGGGGAACCCTACCTCAGTTCTGGCCAGGTACAAGAGCATTTTTGTCTTCACCTTCCCTTTCTTTCTCCTTTACTTTTTTCTTTCTCCCGTTGATTGTGTTCGATTCATAAATACAAGTGAAGTTACGTTATGGTTAAAATAAACATGCTGATTTTGACTGGTTGATATATGACCTAGCAAGTGATGCATTTTGGAGCTAGTACTGTATTTAAAACAGAAATGCAGTAGAATGGCAGCTCAAGAAAAAAGCTAGATATAGCAATAGAAAAAAATCAGTTGCTCTTCGTGGCATATAGGCCTTCAGTTAAGGACAGTTTCTGAAAGTATAAATTATTATTCCAAACAGCACTTAAGTGCATTTGGAGACTTTATGAGTATTTTAAGCATGTGTTAAAGTTGATTGCAGACCTTGTTCAAGATGTTGAGGATAATTTTGCAAGCCACCTAATCAGAAATGAAAATCATCCTCGTCCTGGATGCATCAGTGGAATTTTATCCATCTTGTACCACCACAAATACAAAAACACAGTAAGCAGTTATTCCAAATCTTTTTGAATGTATTGTAAGGATGCTAAAGATCAGAGGGTCTTTTTGGGAAGTATTCCAAAACAGAAGCGAGACTGTGGTCATGTAGCTTGGAATTGCATTCCGGAGAGCTCGTCTGAATCCCTCTCACCCTGCACAACAGCAGCTCTGGCTGCGCTGCCTTCAGCACAGATCTACGTGGCTCTTTGGACATGACCCCAAGAACCCTTTGGTTTATCCTGGGTTAATGGCAACTGTTTTCCATTCTGGCCTTTTTCGTTTAGGCAGCGTTCATGTGCAAGTCCAGGATAATGGTTTGTTCGGATGATCTGTTTGCATGGTGCGATGAGCAGAGCTAACGGTGGCTTGATAATATACAGGCAAATTTAACGCTGAGTTGTTTGAAGTTGTTCTTTAGGCAGGGTAAATGAACTATACAATTTTTCTTTCCAGGCTATCCTCCTTATTATTCTGTACGAAAGGTGAAGAACGGGTGGAAGGAGAGGACCGTCACCAGAATTGCTGAGTGTGGATGAATTTTGGTGCATGAGATGAAAGTGGGGTGGGATTCTTTTTTTTCATGCTATATCAAGTGTCCAGAAATAAATATTGCAGATAGCTACAATATTCCTATGCATGTCATTTAAGAAGTAAGTGTGCTCTGAATTGGTTTGTGTAATAATGTAGTGCATTAAAAGGAGAAAGGAAATAAATTTAAAAAAAAAAAGTGTTTCCTTTCAGGTGGTTCTGAAAAACTTACCAGGAAGGAATAAACAGGTTCTGGTATCCCTTTGAGAGAAGCTTTAATTCTGTAAGACCCAGAGCCCAAAGTCTATTGACTTTGTAGAGCCAGAATGAGTACTCTTTAGATGTCCTCCAGGCTTCCCTAAATTTTTATGTATTATATATTTTAAAATGATTTTTGAAGTGAGAGTAGCATTGGAGTGAGATGTTCTGATTGGATGATGGAGCCTTTTAATGAAATACAAAATAATGAACATATACTGTCAAAATGAAAGCTATATAAAGGCCTACTCTTCTCAGCTTGTAGCTGAACGCCGTGAGTCTCAGCAGGTCGGCGAGGTTTGGTAAATGATGTGCTGGCCTGAACGTGTTTTATTCCATTTTCTGGGGGCAGTCACTTCTCAGCTTTGCCTAAGGGAGAAACTGTAGATGGTGAAGATTTTGTCTTTTAAAACACCAGGCAGGCCCTGTTCCTGCTGATAATGCTACATCTCATAATGCTGAAGGACATAAAGCAAAACCTGGGTATTAAACCAGGCCTACAGCTTGCCTGCAAGTCATAGTAACGAAATGAGTTATTTACATTTGATGCCTTTCCAACTATGTGGTTGTCCTTGCTCTTTATGTGCCCGGTATTTTTCTAATTCATAGCACCACAATGGAGACAAGGGGGCAGGAAACCGGTGACAGATTTGCTGGCAAGAGTTTGCATGAGTCGGGAAAAGAAAAAAGGGGAAACACAGGCTGGACACTGGGAAATGTTTTGCTTTACTGTGCTGGTGGAGTCGGATGTGGAAATACCTCCCAGAGGCAGCAGCAGAAGCTGCAACTCGAATGGCTGGAATGCTATAAACTGAACACGGGGAGTAATCTGGGCTCAGTAGAAGACAACAGTAGAATATTGAATAAGCAGTTTTGGCTTCTCAGTTTCTGGAAGAGTGTATAGAACCATTTTCAGCAAATGCAGGGGTATTGAAAAATACGAGTTTCTCTTTTTGTAAGAGTCTAAGATCGCTGACGTAACTTCAGGTTCCTTGAGAGGCAAGCGGAATTATTTTCTCATTATAATTTGCCATTTGGTGTTTGTAATGTGTTGTTAGTTATAATACATCTCTCTGAGCACCGGAGAAGGCCGGCTTTGCAGTGGGTGGTTGTTTGGGCTGCCCTCCCTACGCTGATAAATCGATGCTTCTGGGCCTGGGCCTTGAGCTTTGGTGAGCAGGCCATGGAGCCAAGCTCCGTCGCAGCAACTCTGAACAACCAGGCAATTTTGGGGTTTAATTTCTAGCAACATAAAAGGTGCCGAGGGGCAGCTGAGCAAGAATTGAGGAAGTAAATGAAATGAACGGATCTTGGAAATGAACGTTGTTTGCTGGAAAAAATGTAGGTCTGCTCATATACTAAGAGGATACAGGTATGCTCTGGCACTGCAATAAATCTCGCTTAATAGGATAAGAGGCTTTCAAAGTGCCAAGTGACAGAAAGTATGTGTCTCCTCACTTAAGGCGTAAATAAATAAATAAAAGGGAGGGAAGCCAATTTACCTAGACATATGCATGCCCACGTTGTGTGTGTATATATTCGTGTATGCGTGTATTTAATCTCTCTGTAATTCAGGTTTCCCGTCTTGTTGCCCGGGGTTATTTTCCTGCCTTTTTTAAAAAGCAAGCATTGCAATTTTTTTTCTCCAACAGTCATCTGATCAGTGAACTTGTTTTTTCATTAAGCTCAGTTAATAAACAGGGGAACAGATGTTCAAGATGCACAGTGGCACTTTTGTCAAGTAAAGTAGAATTGTTTAGATTTTCTACGAACTGAGATAGCAGCCTAGGCAGAGAGAGGGGGAGTTTGAGGCACGTCATTTTGTTGGTAGATGTGTTTTTATTAACAGCAGAAGCACATGTAAAGTTCCAAAGCCAGCAATAAATGATGTAGCTAGCTGAGATGGGAAGATTAACCTGACTGTACAGTGAGAGGCAACGAAAAGGCGTTCGGTGCCTCTGCACAGGTCAAAGGCCTTGCTGGTTATCTAAGGAGATTAATGTAAGTGAACTATACTTAAAGATAATGACATTGAGGTCACAGCTAAAAGCTTCTTTAGATGTGCAGCAGAAAACCTGACCAAAGGCGGTGTTATATGTATAAATTATGAAGACTCTCAGAACTGAAAAGGGTAATGCCACCGATCAGAAGGTAAATGGTTTTAGTGTGAATGCTTTTCCTCTTAAAGACTAAAGCTGGTAGATTAGATGTGAAAAGTCAGCTCTGTGCAGAGGACACCTCCCTATTTACTCAGGCCGTATTTGAGTGGTTGTAAAGACGGATTTCATAATGTTGTTTTCATGGGATTTAATAGCTTCCTTTCCACCTTGCAAATGTATGAGTCTGTGTAAGACAGAGGAGCCAACGAACTGGTGCTCTGCTCTCCTTGTCAGTGATTTCCATCTCGAGTTTGCTTATTTTACAGTTTTAAAGATTCTTGTCTTCAGCTTCCAGGTAGGGTGATTCCAAATGAAGATTAATCTTTCTCTCACATCAGTATAAACCATGTTCACATGTGCAACCAAGAATATCTTTGAATGATTGCTTTAGAAACACCTGCGCAAACATGTGCTTTGCAAGTGTAAGCAGTGATTTTAGTAAATAATTATGTTTTCTTAAGTAGCATTGCTTAAAAGAAAAATAAAACTAGAAAACCCAGCCAAATCCACGGCAGCCTTCTCAGAATGCTTACTGGGTAAAAATAAATTTCTTAGTGTTTACACTAAGATACCTTGAATTATAAATTGCAAGTAGAGGAAAACAAAGCAAAACAACCCTTAGTTTTATGGAAAGTAACTGAACACAGATTGCTTCCTTGGCTTTTGTTGAAAGAAGCATCCAATCAAGTTTATCATCTCGGACTGAGTTTCTAATGTTCTGTGGAGTATACTCCAATTTTCTCTTTTGTTTTAAGCTTCCTTTTCAGTCAGGGACATTTATGTAGCATAAATAAATAATTGAAGTGTTTATAAAAGTTGTATTTCAAAGACAGGCTCTAAAACCTAGAGGGAAAATGGAATCAATTTTCCGTTGTCCTGACGTAGTACATATTACTCGGTGAGAAGCAGACTCGGGGCTGATTTTTGAAGACTAAAAGCTTAACTTATAAAAACTTGGAGGTAGAGTGATCTCTGAGGACCCAAATCTTTCTATGCCCTTGTCTCCATTGCATCATGCTGAAAATTAGCAGCTGCTCAAATTCGGGCTGCGTCTATTAAGTTTAAAACTATAGGAGAAAAACGTTGCACGAGAACAAGTGATGCTGCCATTTGCACTGACTCTGTGGCAAGGCATTGATGGTAGAAATGAAACAACTGCTATTAGATGACTACCATTGACCTTTATGTGCAGGATATTGCTGAATTGTTCCATTTCATTAGTATACATTTTTGCATCCAAATTTTGCCTTCGAGATTGTCATTAATTTTTTTCCCTGTTGTAGACTGAGATGTGTTCAAGTGAATTTGTGTTGCAAACTAGAGAGGAAGATATATGCAGTACGACTTGGTGCAATAAGACTGGAAGAGCTTCAGCTGCCTTTGGAAAGGGCATTCACTCGCTAAAATGATAAATATTCACTGAAAGTCATTTTGAAGAACGGTGTGGCTGGGTATTCAGAGGTCAGATTGGATCTGTGTATAACCGGGGCTCCTAGGAATGGGTTTAGGTGCAGGTATTCCTCAAAACTAGTGGAGTACTTAGTTTTTGACATCCGAAGGTATCCAAAAGTTGGTGGGTTTCATGCTGTTTATGGCAGTGTATAGCAGCATGATTCAGTCAGTCGGGTTGTTCTTTTCTCTCCCTGTCCACCTAATGTTTTGTGTTATGCTTTAAAGGAAATAGATGGTTATTGCAACATATTTAAGTGTTTGAAAAATGGTTAGAGGATCTTAATTTATGCAAATTGGTAAATAGCAGAATGTACGAGACAAGAAACCTGTGCTAAGTGAATGCCCATGGGAGAGTAGAATTGGCTGCTTGGGACAGATGGCCTTTAAATGCTCAAACAAAGCATAAAAACTCACGGGGATCCTGTAGAAAAGTGAATATACCCCTAAAGTGATTGCTCAAGACAGTCTTGCCAGTTGCAAGTAATTTAATTATTATTATTATTATTATTAATACAAGGGACCATCCAGCTTCATTTGCTTTCTTTGTGCTGTTAAAAAGGGATGCAAGGGATGGCCCTCGCTGAGACCACCTGCCTGCTTCAAGAGGGGGAAATTCCCCCTTGACCTTGTGCATCAGCAAATTAACGAGAGCAACAAAATTCCAGATCTGCATAGCACTAAGTTATGGAAACTTTGAATTCTTGATGTGCTGTTTTCCTATATGCCCATCTTGAGATTGACTGTGTGACCAGTATGCGAGATGATTATTTTTCTGATAACATTATTCCTGTTGAGGATAAGCATCCTATTTACAAGCCCTGTTTAGTTCCTATGCGAGATGATAATTTTTCTGATAACATTATTTATTCCTGTTGAGGATAACCATCCTATTTACAAGCCCTGTTTAGTTCCTAGCAAATATTTGTAACGTGACCTCACGTTATCTCCTCATACTAACTATACCTGTTGGTTTTCTATAGTTAACTCTTGGGCTTACTCCAAGCTCTACCTTTACTCTTGGTGGATGAATATGAGACAAACAATCTGAAACGACCATTTCGTGAAATAAGTAAAGGACATAAATTAATTTAGAGACAAGTCAAAACATCTTAGGAGAACAAAATATTTTGCTGAGAGCTGAGTTTTTTAAGCTACCGGCTAAAGTTTAGTTACATTGCTATTTTTTTCTTACTGTCTTGAGGAAAATGTTTTATTTTTGCATTTATTTATTGCATATATTTACTAATTGCATATGTACATATATTGCATGTACTTATTTTGGAAATCGGAGGTGTTTTACATCTCAGTAAAGAGATTCAAATTCAAAAAAAAAAAGAACTATGGTTTTTCATGAGTTATGTCTGCAACATATTGGCAAAGTAAGCTGAAGATAATTAATGTTGAAACTTCAAAACAATGTGGAGCTATATGCTTTTCCTAGAGTCTTATGTTGACAGAAGAGATACTTTTATTTCTGCTAGCTATCCAAAATATCATTTGGTATTGAACAAATAATTTCTTTTTTCATATATCTGTCATCTGGGCTGTTATTGCCAAAATAGACCTGAATGGTATTAAATGGCATATTTATTGATTTAAATGACTGTCTTTGCTAAAGTATATGTTTGAAGTCTGTGAAGGGAATTGTAAGATCACTGCTTAACTTCAAGATGTTAGATCTGATAATGAAATAGCGCTGATGTGTTGGAGAGGTGAATTTTTTCTACTCTTTTTAGAAAAAGGTACTGGAAGGAGGGTAGAAAAAGGAAAAAAAAAAAAATCAAACTGCAGTTGTAAGAGGAATGGATATCTCAGGTCACCAATCAGTCTTTTTCAAAACGAAATTTTTTAAATGAAAAAAAAAAGTTCTTGCAGAATTACCCCAAAATGTTTGCTTTTGACCTGAAGTGGCACATCTGAGTTGGATCTGCATTTTGTTCAGCCTAATGCATTGCATTGATTTCAGTCTGGATTTTACAGACCCTTTGGGACGCGTGGTTGCGTTTCAAATAAAAATTTCCATTTTGAGAAGAATAGATAGGCTATTTTGACTCTTCATCAAATTGTGTCATGATGAGATTTGCTTCCCCTTGGCGTATTTGTTAGTTTGGGTTTGCACTGGAAGGCGGTTTAGGTGGGGGGAAGATGTGGGAAGAGATACGTGCTGCCGAGTTTGGATAGCTCTGAGTCAGCTCACTCTCAAATTGCAGCCTGTCACCAAACTTCAGAATTCTAAAGGTTCGCTCTGTTTATTGGGTGGAATATCTTTCAAAACAAGAAAAAATCTTCCGCTATTCCGCTCATGTTAAATGCATCCTTCTTGCTTCTTCCTCATCACAGACAATGTGCCCGCACCAGTGTTTGGGTCTCATGTGCGAGACCACATTTGGCTGAATAAACACATCCATTTATCAATATTAAGAGAAAGCAAATTACCACGTGAGTGGACAGGGGGTCTTTTCACACTCTGGAATCTAAAACCTGCTTGGGAAGTGATGAATTTTGGATGAACTGAGACTGTTTTCCAATGTGCAGAGGAATGTTTTGAGGATCTCATGCTTTGCTTTTCTGTGTTAGACAGAGCTATGAAGAACTGGAAAGACAGCTGAAAGAAGTCTTTAAGGAAAGGAGCAATATCCTTCGTCAACTGTCAAAGACTTCTAAAGAGCTTGAGGGAATTAAAGTAAACCTTCAGGTGAGTTTATGTCCTGATTTCTGTGGCAAAGGATCATGTGCCTCGATTTGTTCATATTGGTCTCAATTTCCTGTGAAAGGTGAATAATTATTTATTCTCTTGATCTTGTATTTAACCTAAGCCTGATATTTTTAAAGAAAAAGTAATCCAAATGAGTTGGAGCCTTTGTCCACACAAAGGAAAGAAAGGAGAAAGAACAAGGTGCCTTAGTGGGACTCCTGCAAAGGGTGCATCAGCTGTTAGCAAAGGGAGATGCTCCAACGTGCCTGTTTGAGTTGTGGCCCGTTGAACCTGCTCTCCCTTGCTTTGTTGTTGTTGTTGAGTACCATACTTTTTATTATAGTTTTTTTCTTCTTTTTCTTACTTTTTAAGAGGCATTTTTCCTTGTAACACGATTATGCTCGAATGGGATTTCCTGTGCAACAAAATTCAAGGTTGTGCTTAGCAAATCTAGCCCATCAGAGATGAGGCAAAGCACTGTACTGTTATTTGCTGAATACACATATTTGTCATACACCTTTAATGCTTTTAGCCATTTACTTGTTTCTAAATCATGCTTTGGATCAAATCTCTTTTAATATTTGAGACAAAGCAACTATGTGCAGTTAGCAATGATGAACTATGGGAAGAATCGGGCTGTTCCCCTGTTCTTCCTTGCAAATGGTGATGTGTATAATTCACTGGAAGCCTTTTATGAAAGAGGTCCCAAATTAATCATTTTTACAGGTGAATAATGTTAAAGATCTCTTTGGTAATACATTTCCTACTTTGTTCTCAGTCGTTGAAAGATGATGAAGCATCAGCCAAGAATGATGTGCAGAAACTGCTGGAACTGGGCCAAAAGCAAAGGTAATGTCCCATCTCCACCCTGTTTGTTCAGGTTCTGAACTGAAAACTGCAATCTGTAAGTGCTGGAGTGTTCCAGACAGAATTTTTCTACCATGACAGAAAAATAAGGGCCAGAATAAGGCTATTTTGGAATGATTTTCAAACAAATGACACGAGCAGGTAGTGGACATTCTTGACTTCTTAGATAGCACATGAATAGCACTAGGAAAAGACATTAGAATACAACAGTGAGATATTTGCCAGTTCGAGAGGGATTTCGAATCTCAGAGAAGTTCAGACATGAATTTTTATCTATTCAAATGAACAAAATCAGAAGCCTTCAAAAGTTACTAGTGGGTAATAATCCCCAGGTTAGGAATTTACCTGTGAGTGTCCCAATCTCTAGAGTTAGAAATATTACACATGTATTAAATCTTTATACATCTAGGAGGAATGGGATGAAGAGAGATGTATTCCCTTCAATTTTTTATTGAACACTTAATAAAACAGTGACTTTACATGGCTGGGATTGGAAGCATAGTCCTTAGTCACTATCTATTGTAACCTAACTATCATTATTTAACAGAGAATGACTTAGTTCTCTTGTTTCTTGGAGTTCAAAATTATAGATCACTGTATCGGTACAATTTTAACATGCAGCCAACATCACTGACACAGGGATCCCTTTCTCTGAAATAATACGATGTGATGAATGCATCTTTATCTCACATTTTTGCCTCAAGTTTTTAATAAATGATTTTTTCTAGTGAGAGTGTGTATTTCGTCGCTAGAAATGTGATATCGTGTTTAATAGAAGCTCTGTAGCACATATGAAATTGCTTGGCTATAGAGGAGGCTTGTGATTAAACGGCCTTCAGTTCTTCAATACAAAACAGATTAGAGCCATAATACAGTAGCCATGGATGTTTCTCATTTTTACTTCAGCAGAGATGGAGCAGATCCCTCAGGGAATTTAAGATATTCTAGATAAATCTGTTGAATGATTAAGGCAAAACTTCAGCTAATACCAGGTTTAAACAAATGCATATGACAGCTTGTATGCAGGTGAATGTGCACATTTCATCAGCCATGACCTTGTCACGGGCTCTGTCCCTCCTACATGTCACTGTTTTTTGCAGCTTCTATGCAATGAAGACATTGGTTGATTAAAAGCATTAATGACTATTGAGTACATTTTAAAATAGACTTTCTTAGAGGAAGATGCAAAATTTGAGTTCTCTGAGGGGAAATGTCTACTCCTTAGCCACATACTAGTAAGTATTCCAAATGTCCTGCTCACTTCATCTCGCAAGCTCCATCTAAAAGTACATGTTGATTTCTATTTTTAAAGGAGGAAAATGTTGAGCATAATTTAGAAAAACGTTTTCCAGAGAGAGTCCCATAATCAGTGTCACTCTTGGACCCCGCTGCAGGTCCGTAAGGCCATGTGCAGCGTGGCCAGCAGAGCATCTCAGTCCACCATAGTTAACAGTAGAAAATTCTGGCTCCATCACTGATGTGCCAAAACCCAGTGAAAACATCTTTTGGTTTCTTCTCCAGCCATAGAGTAGAATATTCTGCTGAATTTTGTGTTGTCTCTTTCTAGAAAGTCAAGTGAATGTTTAATTTTATCAGCGTTTTTTTTTTTTTAATAGTGTAAACCATTTCTCATTGATAATAGCACAGTCCCTTTTTTCTTCACTTTTATTGTGCCAATGCTTTTAGCCAGAAATTATACACTGGCAGATGTTTTGCGCAGCAGGATGCTCAGTGGATGTACAAGGTAGCCATTACAGATTAATTTCCATTACAGATAATTTTTGTTTTGCGCTAGGACTGGAGTTCATGGGGTCATTATGAGTTTATGAGCAAGACAAATAGACAGAGCACGTCTGTGTGTCACTGAATAATTAAAAGTGCATTTTGTTGGAACGAATGGATTATTTCTTAATGGACACTTGTAATGAAGTTTCTCTTCTGTGTTTTCAACAAATCAGGGAAGAAATGAAATCTCTCCAGGAGGCCTTTCAAAAGCAGCTTAATGAGGCAGCTGAGAAAGCAGAAAAGCAGCAGGCTACCGTGAGTTATTCCTTGTCCCTCCTTCATTATTTTTGTTTATTTCTTCTTTTTTTTTTTTTTTATTCTCCTGCCTTGAGAATTTTCCATCATCTCAAACAGGTTTGTATGGGGGATATAGGGGAAAAGAACTTTGATTTCATGTATGCATGGGTTTTCTTCAAGCTTCATAGGAAAGTTTGGATACTCATCATCACTCATTTCTGTGGGATTTGAGTATGGGCACTCCTGGAGATTGTAGTCTTGTCCACACCAGCACATGCTGTCGTACCTCCACTGGCTCTTTTTGAAATCACTGATGATTTTCAGCAAGAAAAGAAACAGATATCTGAGTCCAATTTTGACTGCGCTAGATCTGACTACTTATATAGGAAGGTATTGAGTTGCATTAGAGTTTCACGCTTTAAAGAAGTTCTGTTTCTGGATAAATTCCAAAGTTAATTGGATTTTTCTGTACTCCTATAATGATGTGTGGCATAAATAGTGGAAATTACATGAGTTTATTATTAACTCAATTATTAGTTTAGGAAATAAAGATATTCCCGCTGAAGTTAATGGACCTACTGCAATGTGTTGGGTAAGAACAGAGCTCTCGTGTTCAGTCGAGCACTTGAACTGTGCTGTTGTCCTGTTAAGTCCAAATTTAATGTCAGGTTATTAAAGTGTCAAACCTTGGATTCTTAGTGTTTGAGTCACCTAGATCAGGCAGATGGCTAGAAGGTATCACCAGTGCCTTCAGGTCTATATATAAGTGTATATGCTTGCTGGACTGTTAGAACTTTTTATTTTTTCTAGAAAAAAAATACTTCTTTTAGTAGTAAACTAGATGATTTATTTACCCACAAGTTTAAAATATTTTGTAGATTTTCTGGATATTCAGGCCATTGTATAGCTTGGAAAAACGCCTTTTTTCAAGATGGTTTTGCACTGAGCAAATAATCATGTCCTGGAAAAAATAAATAAATAAATAAATAAATAAGAGCCTAGTCTTCCCTGCTAAGTACTGGAAATTATTATCTTTTAGGAGGTGCATTGATAAATTCAGAACAGCTTTGAAAGCACAGCAAAAAGCAGTCCTGCAAACTGAAGGTGAAAAATATATTTATTTAATGTCCCTGTTAGCTTCTTGAGGACTTCTCAGCTATGGACTGACAGCACCTGAGATGCAGTGAATTCTGTGATTCCATATTCTCTGAATGGGCAATTGACTCTGTTATGTTGGGTACAATGCTCTGTATTTTTTAGCTTCTACAGCAGCACTTTCCATGTGATCTCAACTTGGACAGTAACAAAATGCAAAATTTGCTCTTCAGAAGTTAAACAAAATCTACTCTTCACTATAAGGCAAAAATTTGCGGTGCAAATAACAGAAAAAAAAATTCCATTTGAGTTGAGAACAGAATTTGACTGGAAGTGTTGTCAGCTGGTTAGAGAAAAAAAAATCTTCAGCTCTATTTTAAAATTCGCCAATAATAGAGTAATAAATTTGCCACTGATTTGAAGGAAAGCTGAACCAGTCCTTGGTTTGTGACTTTTTTTTTTAATTGCCTCAGGGTAAAATATACATAATAAAACTTTGCAGTACAGGGAGACTGAATGAATATTCAAGAAATGCTTCAGCAGCCTTGGATGAAAGCTGCGATGGAAATGGAAATAAATATTGCTGTCACACAGTATTACTTTACACCTGTTTTCTCCATGTGTTTTGCATATTTCTGAAAGCAAAATGAATATTATGGAAGAAAGTCTAGGTAGTTTGGGACAAGCCTTGTTCGAGGCTGGGAGCTTGAACTTAATTCTGATTTAATGAACTGTAAGTCTTGTTTCTAATCAAACTTATGCACAGTTCATTCTGCAAGACCTAATGAAGTAAATCTTGATTTATATCAATGTAAACAAGAATAGGATTACATTTTTCAAGGCCCTATGCATAAAAAAAATAGGAGTAAAAATACAAGTATGTTTTTTCTGCTCTTGCTAGGAAGGCATAATACGACGCTTACTGTATTTTAATTGTTAAATTCATGATGTGTATTTTCATGGGCCATAGGGCATAATTCCAGTTTCTGTTGTCCTCTTAAACCATCAGTAAAAACTGATGGAACTGCTTGGTTCAGAACTCTTTTATCTGTATTTAGTGCCAGAATAAATACGTAAGTAGATTATAACAGGGTGTTAGGCAACAAATGATTATTAACAAACAATCAAGCTAGCATTTTATCCTATATCTCTAAATGAAATGTGGAAAAACTTCCTCCAGAAACAGGATTAGGCAGTTTGTTAACAACGAGGCAGATATATCGACAAATACAGTTACAGTTTTTTGGCAAGTCACCTTGAGCTTAATAGAGTTGCTTCTCACTAGCTTCAATCCTGCTGTATAAAAAGAGATGGACTATTCTGGATGAGTGAAACAGAAATACATAAAAACAGTCAAGCTGTGACAAATCTTGGCCTGCATTTTACTTTTTGCCCCCATTACTGTTTTCTGTCATTCTAACAATTTCTGAAAACACTTACTGATATTTAACTTTGCGATTAAAATACAGTCTGTTGAGAAAAAGGAGAAAATATATCTGCTCAGAGTTCATTATGAAAACTGAGAATTAGGTAAAACATTTACATGTATGGATTGTAAAGATAAATCTGTACTAGCATGGTTGAAGGGAGAAAGAAATGAGTTTTGAAGATAAATAATGGCTCATTTCTCTTCAGATGCTAAAGCATCTGAAATTTCTCTTAGTTCTATTGCCTCTATAACCAGAAAGATGAGTTTCTAAATTCCTGTTGAGGGGAAAAACATAGACTGGATTTGCATCCCAACCCATAGTAGCAGAAACAACTGACAGAGTGGATCAAATAAATCTGATTTCCTCGGTTGGCTACATAATATTTTCGCTTCTGTAGGACAGTGTTTTGGTTCATTTATTTGGGAGAGTCCAGGTTGTGCACTCTGGGACTACTGTACTGAAAAAAACAAAATATGTGAAGGTGGGAATGAGAGCTGCTTTCAAGACACATTTCAGTTGTAGACCAAAACACTGATGTGATCTCATGTCTTGGAAGTCTGAAACTACAACAAAGACTTGAGGGTAGTTTTAGGAAATGGAGGGAATGAGTAGGAGATGAAGTCTAAGGAAGAGGGGAAAAATAGGCAACTGCCTCTGTATCAGCTCTGGTCTGTTCTTCCCTTAAATACGGATCAGGGAGAATCTCCAATGCTCAAGCCTGGTTCTGACCATCTTTGGATATTTCTAAGTGCTCTAGGATGAGGAGGAAAACTTTCCTTGACTTTTCAAGCACAATATGGTCATTTTGAAAACAGTAAGGTTTTTTTTGTTTGTTTTAATTAGTAATAAAACATCCTTGATAAAATATATGAAATTTAATTTAGGGAGATCTATCATCAAAGAGGAATCAAGAGTCACCACAAACACATGCCTGCAATATTTTTTGCTAGAAAGATGCTCATTTTATTACAAAACTTATTACAACATATTTATTACAATATTTATTAAAATATTAATCCATTGTTTTGTCTACTTCATGGCAAGTGTGGACTGCCTCTATGACAAAAATCTGAAATCTGCTTATCCATTAATTCACCATTACTTCTTCATTAATTCGCCATTAATTCTCCATTATGCAGTATGATTTCGTGCATGGTAATTTGAACATAAGACCATAAAAATTACTGTTGAGTAGGTTAGGGTTGCCAGATACGCCCATATCCTGTCATAGTTAATCATGGTGGTGAACACCCTGCATTTCTGTCCTGTCTTAACTGCTTGTGTCTCCGTTCCAAGTAAGATGGAACAAGATGGAGGCCAGCAAAGAAGCCTACAGCCGAGCTTCAGCTTTTATTTCTGTATTCTTCCACCCTTCATCTACAGTCAATAACTAACTGTGGTCTGACTTTTAGAATTGGATCATTGCCATCTGCTAGAGCATTCTGCATTTCAACGGGGGAAAAATTTAATTTGAACGTTTCAAGGTCACAAAGCACTGAGAGTGAAGGCCACTGGGCGGAAGATGTTGCTTTTAATAAACGTAATGAGCTCTGAAACACACGCAGCTCTAAATATTTTGAGTGTCTACCTCCTGGAGACAGAGGCAATGTCCTTGCTTGATATCAAAGTTCATTCTTGGAACACCAACATGTTTTCATTATGGATTTTTATAATTACAGCTGGATATTTAATTAAAGGCAGGCAACATTTGGAAACATCTGAATGTCAAACAAGAGCAAAGAATTAGTGGGAAGGTGGAAAAGATGTAGAAAAGAATTTTTTCAGTTTCTATGCCTTTAATATAGAGCTGAACTTAAATGTCTATTCAGGTATGTTACGTTGTCAGGATTTGCAGACTGAAAATAGAATTCTTACTTCTCATGCTCCTTAGAAGTGGTTCATGCCTTGCTGTTGTTTGCTGCAGAATAGGGAATATTGGGCTTTGGCTTCTGGAGCAGCATTGTAGTCCATCATGACAGCTTTTCTCAGGGGTTGCCTGAAAGCATCAGGCAAATGGTCTAGTGCAGAATCATCTGCCTGAGAGCACAGAATTAGTGAGACACAGATACATTTAAATGGACAGATAGGTTACCTCTGCATTACCTCCTGCAACCAAGCTCTATAAATCCCTCCTGTGTAGCCTTCTATAGCTATACTTTATGACTAAGTGGCTCTTCAGGTGTTAGAGATTAAGTAGAATGGCTTTAAATTATTGCTATAAAAGCAAAAAAAAAGTCTGACTTTTTACTTAATACTGGTATATTAAAAAGAAACATCATTGTTATGTATCTTTCATTACTCAGAAAAGCTAAAATGCTAAGTTTGCGCTAGGTAAGATGACCATAGCAGTGATATCAGATGCCAGGTGTACGTGGTTAGTAATTAACATAAATTGGTGGTTTAACCAACCTACATTAGCAGTTAAACGAACAGTGTTGTGGTTCATCATATATATCTGTCCTCAGAAGATCCAGGCTAATACAGGCTCTGCGTAGAGAGCACCCAAAGAGCAATTTCTGTAGCATATTTTTTATATTATTTCATATATATTCAGATTTAGAAATGATATGCTTTGAAGGAATAATGATAGTCTTGAAATGACTAAGGAAAGGAATGATCCTTAACAGAGGTCAGTACACTACTTTTTGTCAGTGTTTAATGTTAGCTGGCAAATCTTTTGAACACATAAAACACCTGAATATCTGAATAGTGATTTTCTTATTTTTCATCTGGTCTTGATTTTTATACTTGGTGACTTTAATCCATGTATATTTCATAATAAATTCCACCCCTTTGGACACCAATAAATAAAACTTCAGCGTGTGTGGATGGGATTGCTAGTTTGTGGTTAGGGCCTGATGTAAATAACTTCCGTGTTGCCTTTGAAAACTATAGGAGGAAAAAAGTAGAAATTGATGCTTAAAGTGATAAGTCTATTTCAAAAGCTTATGCTCGACTGTTCTTTAAATTTACAGATTAACTTTTTGAAGACTGAAATGGAAAGGAAGAGCAAAATGATCCGTGACCTCCAAAACGAGGTAAGAGGAATGCTTGATTGTCAGCCGCGTGTTAGGAGTCAGCTTCAGAGAAAGTTTAATTTCTGAACAATATTGAATAGATTTTTTTCCTCCAATATTTAACTGTAAAGCACCAAAGCGTGTCAGATTTTTTTTCCACAGCCTTGTATTAGAATTGTGAAATGATGAAGGTTTCAAGATATTCTGAGGTCTGCTGCTTTACTATGTCAAGCAATAAGTGTTATTCTGGTGCATACATTCATTTTCATTATGGCATCATGATATTTTAGAATGTGGAGCTAAATCATTCAGTGCAAACATACTAAGTAGGCTATTAAAATAAATTAGAATGATTTAAATCTAATTTTCTACTGTAGTCTTTTAATTCACACCATATCTATGTCTGCTGCTGTACTGAGGATGAAAAATAGCCAATGATTAATTATCTGATTCCTCCACACAGAAATGAAAGGATATTTTTGTCTGGGGGTATTCAGCTGGCAAAAGCATGGTATGAGTATTTTACTTAGTTACTCAGCTATGGGGTAGTAGTTTAATTTTATCCTATTTTATCCAATATGAATTCAGGAGCACTGCATGAACATAAAAATAAACCACTTAGAGACTGAAGATAAAAAGAGAAAACAGAACGGAAAATTAATTATCCTGACACTGCTCTCATTTTTCTCTTTGTTGTTAACGCTTTCTACTCCAGTTTTTCATAAATTAAATAATGAAGCGTGAACAAATCAAGCATAATACATATTCACAGGTACCTTTGGTGCATATTTTTCCTCTCCGTTGCTTCATTTGGCTGCCTTCCTGTACAGCTAGATTATTTTTTGAGGAAGACCAGGGCCAAGTAGAACTCTTGTTGCACTTGTGAACTGTGGTTTCACAGAAAGGAGTGCTTTGTCTGTGGAGGAGCTTCATTTACATTGTCGCTACCTGCTTCCAAGGTAAATGGAAAGAGGATGAGGAAGGACATAAAATCTCGGAGCTGAGATTCTTAATAGAGTCAAGTTCTAAGGAAATTCTGTTCTAAAATGTTTCCGTAAGCTTTATCTCATGAATATGAGTCTCAAATGGGTACATTTCTGTTAAGCTTTATGTTATATTTTAAACATAAGATTTAAAAAAAAAAAAAAAAATCCTGGAATTTTTTTCAAAAAGAATGGCCTGACTTGTGTTGCTCTTTTTTAAAAGACAGAGAGAGAAAAAGCTTTTAATAAGCAGACTAGAGGAATAAAGGGCAATGTTGTTCTCTAGGAAGGTAGTGAGTTAATGTCTAGATGCTCTAACTGGCATTACAGAACCTTCTAGTGCTTTGTACAAATGCTTCGTATTTGATGTGGGAATAAACGGATTAAATCTTGCGGAAGGAATGAAGTGGGGAAGACGTGACTAAGGAAAAGAGACTTAATTTAATGTGAAATAAAGAGAGATGAGGTGCAGCAAAAATGCAATGAAGAATTCAGTGTACTAGGTTTTCAAAATTGCATGAGAAGTGATAAAGGATCTTTATTTTTTCCCACCCACAACCCAAAAAAAAAAAAATCAAGCCTTGGCACAACCTTGTGTTTAAGAGCAATGGTTTGTAGCTAGGAAAGATAAGAGTTTAATGCAAGTACTGAAACTACTCCATTAAAGTAATGCATTTGTCGTTAGTCTTTTGTATGCAAGCACACAGGCATGGGTGAATAGAGGAAAAGTCCACATGAGTAATTTTTTCTTTAATTAAATCAAATCTTGGAAATATTTCCTTTTTATTTTGCACTATCATCTTGCAAGGAATTCTCATGGATGTGAGAAAATGTGGACACTGTTTATTCTGCATGTGCTTTAAGAGGAAATATAGGAGAGTGCCTGCGATTAAAAAAGGGATGCGGTCCTGGCATGCCATGAGCCAAGCTTGTTTAGAGAGAATTGCTTAGTTGGGAGCTGAAAAAATTGGTAAAATGTGGACTAAAGAAAATATGCTTAAAATGCTTGGCAAGTCTTCATTATTTAGAGGTGAGCTACTACAGATTGAAGAGCTCACTTCTACCCTGTCTACCTACCATCAGTTATGACAAGAGATGTCGCAGCCACTCTGAAAGTAAAGCTAAAACAGGAGGCTGTTAACTATGTTTTTTTTTTTTCCCCCTTTTTTTTGTGGGGGCAGGTTGTGTGGTTTTTGTTTTGTTTTGCTTTCTCAAGTGACCAAAAAAATCTTCTATCCTGACACTTACTATTTGGCGTTCAGAACCGAATGTTTTGGGTGCAACTCTAAACATGCATACATAATGAGTTAATTTCCTAAATTAAATTATTTAATGGTTATATGTCAGCCATACATTTTATTGTTCCATTTGTGGTTTTTTTTCACTCTTTTTCTCTTGGTAATGATATAAAGGTCATCAAAAGCGGAGTGTTGTACGTGACATACATTTATATACCATTTTCTTGAGGTCAATGAGTTGGGATTTTTCCCCCCAACTTCATAAAAGGCACCTTTTCCTATAGGCTGAACTGAAAGGAAGTGAAATGCACTTAGTCTTTGTGCTGGGGGCACTGCAGCTTGGTCTTGCATCATCCAAACCAGCTGGTTTGGATTAGGACAAATAAATGAAGTCTTGGGTAAAGCTTTCAGGTGTTAAAAAACATGTTCTCATTTAAAACATTGAATTCCATCTCATTTATTAGAGAAGAAATTATTTTTAAACTGCTCATATTATCTTTGGATGATGTACTTCAAGCTACCTCTGCAAATACCGATATCACAGAATGGTTAAGGTTGGAAGGGGCCTCTAGAGATCATCTAGTCCAACCCCCCTGCTCCAGCACCTAAAGCACATGTCACAGGGTGGCATCCAGGCAGGTTTGGAAGATCTCCAGAGAAGGAGACTCCACAACCTCTGAGCAGCCTGTTCCAGGGCTCTGTCACTCTCACAGTAAAGAAATTTTTCCTCACATGGAGGTGGAACTTCCTGTATTTCAACTTGTACCTGTTACCCCTTGTCCTGTCACCAGCCACCTCAGAGAAGAGCCTGGTCCCATCCTCCCTACAATCCCCTCTCAGGTACTTGAACATGTTGATCAAATCTCCTCTGTTTTCTCTTCTCCAGACTAAACAGGCCCAACTTGCTTAGTCTTTCCTCATAGAATAGGTGCTCCAGTCCCTCAATCATCTTCGTGGCTCTATGCTGGACCCTCTCTAGAAGCTCCACGTCCTTCTTGTACTGGAAGGCCCAGAACTGCACCCAATACTCCAGGTGCGGCCTCACCAGAGCTGAGTAGAGAGGCAGGATCCCCTCCCTCAACCTACTGCAGCCAGGATCAGCGTTCCTTCTGATGCAGCCAGGATCCCATTGGCCTCCTTGGCCAGGAGGACACATTGCTGTCTCATGGTTGACTTGTTGTCAACCAGGACTCCCAAATCCCTTTCTGTGGAGCTGCTTTCCAGCAGGTCAAGCCCTAAGCTGTCCTGGTGCCTGCAGGACCCTGCCCTTGTCCTTGTTGAACCTCATGAGGTTCCTCTCTGCCCAACTCTCCATCCTGTCCAAGTCTCTCCGAATGGCAGCGCAGCCCTCGGGAGTGTCACTGATCACCACCTTTTCCTTGACATACCTAGAGATGGTCTCTAGGATGAGCTGCTCTATCACCTCTCCAGGGACGGAAGTGAGGCTGATTGGGCCTATAGTTTCCCGGCTCGTCCCTCTTGCCAGTATTAAAGACTGGAGTGATGTTGGTTTCTTCCAGTCCTCCCCTCCTTCCCTGCCCTCCATGACCTCTCCAAGATGATGAAGGGCGGCTGAGCAACAACCCCCGCCAGTTCCCTCAGCACTCTTGGCTGCATCCCATCCAGGCCCATAGATCTATGGGCATCCAGTCTGCCTAAATAATCCCTAACCCAATCTTCCTCGACCAACGGCAATTCCTCCTCTCTCCTGGTTCTCTCTCTTGTCCCTGTGCTCTGTAGTTCACGGGAACTGGCCTCAGCAGTAAAGCCAGAAGCAAAGAAGGCATTTAGTAACTCTGCCTTCTCTGCATCCTCCACCACCAAGGCACCCTCCCCATTCAGCAGCAGACTAACATTTTCCCTGGCCTTCCTCTTGCTGGTGATATATTTATAGAAGCCCTTCCTGTTGCCCCTGACATCTCTTGCTAACTCTAATTCCAAACAGGCCTTGGCCTTTCTCGTTGCATCCCTGCATTCTCTGATAATGTTCCTATATTCTTCCCATGTGGCCTGGCCCTACTTCCACATTATGTACATATACATTAAGGTATGCTCATTCTTTACAGATTCTATTTACAACAATCCTACATATTTATAAACTTGATAGAGAGGTTTATAACAAGCTATGCATTTCGTCACTGTTTAGACTGTGGCAGAACTTGGAAAACTGTGAATTATATTAAAGAGCTATAGTAGTACAGGCAATATAAAATAAACCAGAGGTAGAAAATGAATTTGCTTGTAACTCCCAATAATATTTGTTCTTCTAAGAAGCATGTTTTTAAATAACTACCTTGTAAACAATACTTTGGCTCAATTCATGTATAAATTGTGGTTACAGCTTTAGTGTCGAGTAAATCATCCTCACACGGAATTTTAGTCAATCTTTCTGTGCTTGGCCACACTAATACAAGGTAAAGTTGTGGTTGTTTAAAATCCCACCTGATCTATAGGGAATTTTATGCCCTCCAGGGTGAATTCAATTGAACTGCTTTGAATTATGGTGATAGAAACCTCCCTGAGCAAAGCCAAAATGAAATTTTAGGCCTTTGAGACTGTATACTGCCACTACTCTATATTGGAAGACGTTGTAGTTTGTCACTCTTTGTGCTCTACAGGTAAATTAAATCCTGTCCTGTGGTTGTTCTAAGTGTAGAACCTGTCCTATACAGGAAAAAAAAAATCCTCTTTTACTAACTAACTTTTGAATTTGGTGCTGTTTCTTGAAGTCACTTCATCTTCAAGTGAAATACAGCCTCCTTTTCCAGAAATAATTTTGCTGTTTGAAATTGTTCAGGGT